GCGCAGGTGTCGTCAGTCTCTCGTGTAACTTCACATGTATAAAAAAAAAACCCCGCCCCCGCCGGGGGGCCGTACACCGGGCGCGAAACACCGCGCAATGCCACGTGAGAGCGAGTAGTGATCATTTTTTTTATACATGTGAAGTTACACGAAAATTGGCGACACCCGCGCAGATGCGGCTGCCCAAGCCCGGCCCCGCCAGGGGACCGCACACAGGACTAGGATTAGGATTGTTACAAGATCCCGTCGCCCGTTCCTGGAGCCATCCAGGCTCATGGGATATGACTTGGTAGCATCGGCATTGTGTGACAGGGATTCAAGGGGCCCCGGTTCGCTGTTCGAAGCAGGCGTGCACAAAGGCCCCAAACACAGGGCGCAAGACACAGCACGGTGCCAACCGAGAGCGAGCAGCGACCACAGTGATTGCAGGGACGCGAGCACGGCAGCGGTGACACCCCCTCCGCCCCGATAGCAGGCCGAGTCAAGGAGGGCGACGCATGCACGACACGATCAATCCCGCCGGGAACGGCGAGCCACGCAGGCTACGAGGGACGCGCAAACGAGACAAGCTCAGCCGCGCGACTGACATGTGATGATGCGCGTGTAACCTACGACGCGGGGCATGCAGCCCTAGCGAGCGCGGCCCAGGGTCCGCCAGCGCTCCGCGGCCCCGCAGCCGTGTACCGCTCCTCGATCATTGCGGGACCGTGAGCAAGGCGCCCAGCAAAGGCGGCCTCGCACAGGCCAGGCGCGTGTGCCGGCCTGGCAGGCTATTTCTTGTTCTGCATGGATCGTGAGCTCACTCCCCCTCGGCCCGGGCCGATTTCGAGGTGGGGGGACAGGGCTGGCCAGGCGTCGGCCTTCGGGCCCAGCGTTTTTCCCGGGTTTCCCCGCAGCCGCAGCCTTTTTCCTATACATGTGAAGTTACACGAGGAATTGACGACACCTGCGCAGATGCGGCCGCCCGAGCCCGCCCCAGACTCGGCGTTGCCGCCAGCGCGTGGTGGGACCACAAGCTGGCAGCCGAAGCGAGGCCCTAGCCCCTCAAGGACTTTTTTTATACATGTGAAGTTACACGAGAGACTGACGACACCTGCGCAGATGCGGCCGCCCGAGCCCGCCCCAGACACGGCGTCGCCGCCTGCGCGTGGTTGGACCACAAGCTGGCAGCCGGAGCGAGGCCCCCAGCCCTTCAAGGACTTACGAGGAAACCCCGCCCCCGCCGGGGGGCCGTACATCGGGCGAAAAACACCGCGCAATGCCACGTGAGAGCAAGCAGTGATCATTGCGGGACCGTGAGCAAGGCTGCGGCTGCGGGGAAACCCGGGAAAACCGCTGGGCCCGAAGGCCGACGCCTGGCCAGCCCTGTCTCCCCACCTCGAAATCGGCCCGGGCCGAGGGGGAGTGAGCTCACGATCCATGCAGGACAAGAAACAGCTAGCCTGCCAGGCCGGCACGCCCGCTGGGCCTGTGCGAGACCGCGATTAATGCGAGACCGAGGAATGACATGTATAAAAAGAACACATGTCAGGGTGCATGAAGCTAAAGGAAAGTACAGCAACTGTGTGCCCCCCACAGAGCTAGTTACGGCAGCCCGGCCACCACCGGGGGCCCCGCCGCCGCCGCCATCACCGCCGCTTCCGCAGCCGAAGCTGCCCCCGCCTCTGTCCCCACCGCCGTTGCTACCAACGCTGACACTCCCGCTGCCGCCACTGCCGCTGCCGGCGCCGCAGCCGTCGCCGCCGTAGCCGTCGCCGCCGCCGCCGTCGCCGCTGCCGTCGCCGCCGCCGCCAAAGCCGCAGCCACCGCCCCCGTAGCTGCCGCCGCCGCCGATGTCACG